TTGTTTACCTTGAAGCTGGTGTATAGTGTATTAGTAACATATCAACAAACAAAAAAGAAGTTTCTGCTATCATATTGTTAATCGTTTATTTCATTGCATCCTTCATGTAAAAATACATTCGCTGATTAGTTTTTTTTTTGTGTGTATGATAATAAGGTCTGAAGACATGGTCAAAGGGAGATAATGAGATCCCTTGCCAAGCATGAATGCCATCAACATCACGTTCGTTTGTATGTAAACTAACAACTAGGCTCCGAAATGAAAATATTTTACAGAGAAAAAGTTCATAACAACAAAAAAAAATATAATGAAAAGGAGCCCTGAGGCTTTCTTCATTTTCATAAGCTGTGGAAATCTAGACTTGCCACAGTTTCTAGACTTGCGTGGGCTTTCTTGGATATATTTGCTTCAGGATCTGTACGACAGATTAGTTTGTATGTAAACTAAATACCTTCTTGAGAACAGGTTTCTTACTTCACAACAGAAATATAATTGAGGTAAATTCACATTTGCAAATGTATGTAACTCATGTACTATTTATTATGGACCAATTCAAAAGTTCGGGGTCGGATATAAAACCTCATTCTTTACATTTTAAGTCTTAATCCACTCTGGACCAGACAATCCAGTTGACATCATGCACTTTTATCAATGCATTTGTTATAGGATGACATGCAACCTAGTCAACACCCAGCCCCGTAAGTCGCCTCTCGAACACTAATTCGCAATAATGTCTCTGGTTATTTGACTTTTTGACAACAGTGTCCATGATTAATGTCATGATTGCAATAGATGCAGTGGAACTTGGGTGTACTAAAACAGGCACCATTCCGTTTATAGATGTAAACTCGGAAAGTGCAAGGGAAGGTTAGTATTGATTTTGTAACGTACGTTACAGTCTCCATGCAGATTGAATTGACAAGAGTCTTTGGCCCTGTTTTAATGATGCATTGAGTAATAAATGTCATAAATGAAATAATATTATGATAAACTATGTGACTATACATGTCCACTTATCCACCACGATTAGGTCATTTTGTCGATTTTGTAGTGTACGCTACAAGTGTCTCCAGTCTTCATGCCAAACACGACTAACTTCCTCAATACAGAGAGTAAACACAGTTCATTAGGTTTATTCTAAATGATGATAATTTACTTTGCCAGTCAGTATCGAAACAAGCAGGTCTTCTACACAGTAGTGTATCATACGGACATTTTTGGTTTTGATAGTCGCTGGAATTATTTTAGCCCACTGAGATACCATGAAGCTGGGTGTGGCAAGGGGCCGTGTGATTACCTGGGCGGGACAGCAAAAAGAATGGCTGACGAGGCTGTGAGGAGCGAAAGAGTCGTTATTCCGGATGCCAAGGATTTTCTTGAATGGGCTGTTAGTTCAAGCTTGAAAGAAGTCAGATTTCTATTAGCCTCATCAGAAGAATGTCAAGCAGCAATGTACAGCTTTCACAGCGAAATGTGAAACCCTTAATATATAAAGAGGATACCCGATCATCAAGTCCATGCTGTTATTGGTCTTTCCAATTCATCACCTTACCCATGAAGATCTGGGTTAGAATTGCTCTTCAGTAACTCACGCTTGTCGAGAGAGGCGACTAACGGGATCGGGTGGTCAGGCTCGCTGACTTGGTTGACACCCGATCCCGTTAGTCGCCTCTTGCGACATGCATGGGTTACTAAAGAACAATTCTAAACCGGATCTTCACGGGTCAGCGACATGGGAAATGAAGCTGTGTTAATATGTCTTGAATACATCCACTTATCAGTTCAAGTGAAATGTACGTTACATGTTTATGACTTTAAAATGTCAGTCTAGTCTTCTGCATTCCATGTTCATTGCCTTTGAGATACTATGAACACATCAACTGTAGGTTTCGGGAGTATATTTTAGGTGTGTCAATCACATTTGAAAAATTACATTGTCCAATATATCGTCATAGTTGATACCTTTAGCTTTTTTGCTTTATCCCTTATACGCCCATCGGCGTGTAGGGCAGCAACAAAGGATCGCCACTCTTGTCTGTTCTGAACTATGTGCTGTATTCTACCCCGCTGTGGTTTAGGGTCTTCAGTTCGCTCTCCACGGTGCGTCGACAGGTGTTCTTTGGCCTTCCTTGCCTCCGTCGTCCTTCTGGGGTCCAGTGTAAAGCAGTGCGTGTGCTACTGCTGGGCTCCTTCCTGAGAATATGGCCAGTCCATCTCCACCTTCGTCTGGTTAAGATGGTATTTATACTTTCCATTTTGCAGGATGTTAAACGTTATATTAGCAGTTACTGGTTTTGTTGGGCCAGAAGATTTTTAGGATCTCTCGGAGGCTTTTAGTGCGAAATATGGACAGCTTGTTTATGTCGTATTGTCGTTCTCTAGCATTCAGAGCCGTGCATAAGTGTGGAAAGTACCCAGCTCTTGTACAGTCTAAGTTTGGTGTTTGTGCTGTACTGTACTGTGACGACTTCCACGCGTTGTTCAGCACACGAAAGGCATTGCGTGCTTTGCAAGGCGGTTCTTTATGTTGGTACCTGCGCCTGATGGTACTGCCAAGGTACATGAACTCCTCGGTACCTTGAGGCCTAACCTTTATGCCACGTACATTCTTCTGTGTATGGATACCAATAATGTAAACAGAACTTTCATGAATGATAGATACGTTGGTGACGCACATTACATTTCTAAATTAGCTGATTAGTTGTTTAAAAGTTGGATGGGGATTTCTTTAATATAGGAACTGCATGAGTATATATGCTATTTTCTGCTCCTCTGTATAATACAAAACATTTATAACAAAGGTGACGCTTTTTAAATCCAGCTGTTTGAAGGGCATGATTTTTTATTTGCGAGTGCCAAATGCAATGGTTTATTGAGAATGAGTGTAAATCAAACGTGGGTTGCTGTAGACCACTTCAACGTAGTCATTTTTAGGGGCATTTAGAAGATAAGTTGTTTAGATGAATGATTGTATTACAATCAGGATAGCAACTGGTGAATGTACGTTCTTTTAATCAGTCAATCATTATTCAATATTCAAAGGCCACAGGCCTATAGTATGATACATATTAATACAGTATAGAACAGTTTTATACACGATATTGATGATATGTTTACATACAATCGTGGCGTTCAGACGATGCTCTGCGGTCTTTTCTGGGTTTCATAGCGTGATATATAAACATAGCAACATTCTGAATCATATCATGGATGTTACAGTTTTATGAAGACTAAAATTTATATATAGATGGATGGACATAATAAAAGTCTTTAAGGTATTTCGTAGTTTATCATATAATGGACATACGAGCAAAAATGGTATATTATTTACATAATCTTTCATCTCTTTTTATTCCGGTGTCCCCCGCCGTGATATTGCTGGAATATTGCTAAAAGCGACGTAAAACTAAACTCAGTCAGTCAGTCATCTCTTTTTATCTTCATAAATCTACCTTTTTCATGGTAATGAGCAGCGAAAACGTGCTAAACTTAATCTAAATATTTTAAACGTGACACATGATAGATAATACTCAGTATACATGTATAGTTTAAAAGATGGCATTTCATAGAAAAGGAAAGTTTTTCAAGCCAGTTAGTTGGTATATATCTTTTAATCTTTGCGTAAATAAACTAATAAACTTTGAGTGAAACTCAACATTCTGCTCCTGCCTCATGTGATTGAAACCTCTTGTAAATAAATAATTCTTTACATTCGTTCCCCAATTCCTGTGCCCATTCCCATCATATAGAATCATCATCATTTTCATAACATTTCTTTGATTTTCATAACATTTCACTCTGTAGCGCCTTGAGCATATCTGTCGAGGTTGATTGGGCGCACACATAAATATGCATTATTATTATTATTATTATTAAACGAAAAGAGGACATATTTAAAAGTCTTAGCCAATATTTGACTACTTTAACTTGTGAAGTTATATAAAGAAGAAACCCGCCACATTCACCATAAAGAAGTTGTTCACATGCCTTACCCTTATGTGTTCATTAATTCCTGTTGCCGAAATATATTCATTATTTGCAAAAGGTATTTCTGCGACCTTCTGCTCTTACTCTACAATAACAATATTCTCATTGTGTTACACCGTCCTAGGCCATTTTGAAAGGGTTGTAGCCAAAGGACAAAAGGGCCAAAACTGAAAAAATCAAAAGCGCCAAAGAAAAAGTCGAAAAGGCCAAAGGAAAGTCAAAAGGGCCATAGATTCAAGTCAAAAGGGCCATAGATCAAAGTCAAATAAGAACATACAAACAAATATATATTTTATATGTTTTATTATATTTGTATCAATATGTAGTAGAAATAGTATTAATATGTAGTGTGGTCATCATACATTCAGGTAGAGATGACAACAGTTTATGGATGATCAACTTCTTTATTCTCACAATAGTTTATATACAGGAGGGCGGAGATGCATGTACATATGGGTGCAGTTGTCACCAGTGACTCTGTTGATACCTCTTGTAATCATTGACAGTCTAGTGTCTGTCAACTGGGAGATAACCAAATTAACAGTTGTATTGTTGGCTATACTCACAAAATAAACACTTAACCACTCTGAGATGTTTTAAATAAACAACACTGGGATGTTTAGATTTAGAACTACTTCAACAATATGTAATGGATTTCTTCTAATCTTACTATTTAAGTATATTCTAAAAGTTTGGCCCTTTTGACTTTAATCTATGGCCCTTTTGACTTTCCCTTGGCTCGTTTGACTTTTCTTTGGCCCTTTTGACTTTTCCAGTTTGGGCCGTTTTGTAATTTGGCCCGTTAAACCTGTTCCCTTTTGAAACGACTGTTGACACTGTTGCGGTAGGAGGTAAACAAGTGTTGCTAAGCAACTGAGAGTGGTATGTCTAATCACTTCCGCGCCAGACTGGTACCTTTCCCTTCAGGGTCCAATCGGTTGCACAATGTAGTGCAGCGAGATGCGCAAGCGCTGAAGGGCAGGCATACCAGTCTGCTTCCACGCTGGATGGAATTTTATTTAGGGTGCTTTTCAAGTATGAGTTGAGAGAGTAGCCTCCCTTACATTGGTCAGCCGGGTGTTCATATTTGTAAACAATTAGTGGAAAACAGAGCGTTGTAAATAAATGCTCATCGGTGAAAGTGTGGAACGTGGCACGGCTCTACATTAGAGTCTAATGGCCACACGCCAGTGAACTGCCACGCATCACGGCCATCAGCTGAACACTGTAGTGTACGCAGTGTCACCTACCAATCTGTATCACACGACCTCAATAAGGTTTATCGTACTGACCTCGGACGAATTAGATAACTGTCAACTTATCTTCAACCTTTCTCAACAGACGTATTATGAATGATCAGCTAGTGGGTGCGTGTTTCTGTGAAAGTTACGCTGGAGCTTGTGTTATCAACATCATTCCAAGTCGGAGTGGACTGTCTTGTCGAGGACAGATCGTGAAAAACGGGTTTGCAAACATCTCACACATAGTTTGAGTTTGTGTCGAGCGATTTCCATTATGTCCAGGTAAGTTAAATATGTTTCAGAACAACTGACTGTGTATTTCAATGTTAATCAGGGGCGGATACAACCTTTTAAGAAAGGGGTGGGGTTTTGGTGTGTGTGGTGGTGTGTGTGTGTGTGCGTGCGTGCGTGCGTGCGTAAGGGGTGGGGTGCTGCACACTTCATTTTCACCCGTTTTCAATGGTCTTTTAGATCTAATAAACTTTCCTCCCTCCTAATTCTCTCTCCCCCCTCTCTCTCTGGATCCGCCTATAATAAGGACTTTATATCTTTTACTGAAGGAAACTGCTCACTGCACAAGTCACATCAAGGCATGATACCACAGCCTTTTTGTCTATCTCACAGTCCCTGAACCACATTAATTTCCCTACTGCCTAGCCCTCCTTGCAATGCTAAAGCACTAAATGAAGCAAGTCTAGATTTCCTCAGGTTTAGGGTTTCCCACCTCACAGGGGCTCCTTTTCAGTTTAAATGGGTTTATTTTTACTATCAAAATTTTGTATATGCAGAGACTAAGCGTTAGTCTGCACTGGTTGATGTGGCCATGAAAGTTATAATGACATTAACCTACAATTTTGGGTAAAGGCAAGAGATAAATCTTCGAAAGGCACAATGTGTTGAGTAATAAAATATTGTCATCTAAATTTTTAATCTCACTTAAACATACTGCATCAAAACATTTGGTGAGTCTTTCTTAAATTTTGAACTTGTAGCCATTATTTGCATAAATGGGAGGGAGAAAAATAGGTTTAACTAGAAGAAAGTTAAAAGTCTGACGCAGGTGATGAGTTCCATAATTTGTGTATTTTAGAAAGAAAACAATTTTACACAGAATACTACATTGAAACCAATATTTATAAAAAATGAATTTACTTTTCACTAGTCCACAGTTATGAACCTTGAGAAAATTGTCCTAATTTTTAAAAATCGTCAAGTTATTGTTTAAACCTATAAAGTAAGTCTCTCCTTACTGAATTGCACCTATACTATTAACCTAGTGAATCTGTATATACGTGCTCGGCAATGGTGTGTTTTTTCCATCCTACATTGGTATATATATGTATTATTTTCGTGAACTGTTTTGTGCCACTGATGTTGCTAATAGAGGCATGAGGGTAAATAAAAGTTCACCTCAGTCTTTTAAATATTTCCAGACCAGTTACTATGATGAGTGTCAGAAATGCGCTATTCTGTAGTATGTACTGTGAATATTTAATAGGATGGTGCATTTTATTAAAGTAACAACACAGGGTCCACTTGCGTTATATATACCTTACACAGTCTTATACATCAATCACTATTTATCTGGGGCGGTCGGGTAGCCTAGTAGTCAGCCGTTCGCTCATCATGCTGAAGACATGGGTTCAGTGTGTGAAGTAGTGGTGGTCTGATTAATTGAAATAATCGAAGATTGGTCGCAGTGACTAAACGACCAAGCAATCGATCATGTTTTCTCATAATCGAACACAAACAATTCTAGAACACTTGTTTTCATTAACAGTATTTTTCACTAGGTTGGTTTTGTCTGTTACATTTCATAAGCACTACAAGCTCGTTCCAAGTCATGATTGAATTTATCTTAAAGACTCTAAGAAATTTATGTTCCTCCATACTAGTCATCCTTTAAAGATGTGAAATTTTGCCCCAAAACACCCCAAAGAACTACATGTTTTTTTCCTTATTTTTGTGTGCATTAACACATTTCATAAATGATGCTAACCAATTATTTTCGATGATTGATCGGTTGTAATGAACCAATCATCAATTATGAGATTTTAACCAATTCCCAACACTAGTGTGAAGCCCATAGTTGGTGTCCCTAGCTGTGATATTACTGGAGTATTGCTAAAAGCGTGCATGAAACTAAACTAAACTCAATCACTCACTGAGTTTGGTTTCACTCACTCAGAACATTTATTGTTTCCCGGGTCTTAAGCTTTAACCACTTGGCTCTAATCAGATGAAGAACTAACCTTTAAAAGACAACTTTGCCTTAAAGTTGAAACACAAGCCATCATCCATGTATATACAATGCCTGTACAGCACAACACAACCTCATTATATTGTGATTAAACACTACTGTCTGACAACGTATTATGTACTTAATATATACATTCCTAGAGCCAACTGCCATGGGACCTTTTTATGGCTTCATCAACTTTCCAAGGGGAATTCTTCTATATTTTTACCAATTTTGAAACTTTTAGTTTTTACATAATTTTTTACATAATGGTCTGTTACTACTAATTTGTTTTTTGACACATGTCATCGGTTCCCAGTTGTGCAGATCGATGCTCATGCTGTTGATCACTGGGTTGTCTGGTCCAGACTCGATTTTTTACAGACCGCCGCCATATAGCTGGAATATTGCTGATTGCGGCATAAACCTAAACTCAATCACTCACTAATTTGTGTTCTGACATTTAGAAATTAGAACATTGTTAACATCGACAAAACTAACACATTGAACTTTGCACTTTTTGTGAAAACATTGAGATTTACAAGATGCAAGAAATTTTCTTAAATGGTGCTTATGCAAACGAAAAATACATTAATTGCCACAAATAGATGAACAGATTATCATGATTTAGGAGAAAAAATACATGGATTGGTAGAAATTCTTTAAAGATTAAAAGTCATTTAATCCAAGAGAAATGAAACTAAAATTTAAATGAGAGATCAGTTATCATATTTATATACAGAGCAGTTGCACATGGAGTAAGGCAAGCTCTGACAAGTTCTGAAGTCTGCAGAAATATCTACATGAGTAATAAGCAACTTATACCATATCTGAATGTTTCTGTGCCATGAGAAACTCTATTGTAAGTTCTAGCATGAGAGTGTAGTTTATCAGGTTTATTTAAAAAAATTAAAGACAAGAAAATGTTTTTGGGATAATTTTGAAAAGCATGCCTGCGCTATCTGCTCAGTGTTTTACAAGGAGCTTGTTTGTGCCAATTAAAGACATTTTAGATAGGACTATCATAGTCATATTCTTAGGTCTTGTTCTTGATTTTTCCATTTACTTACTGCTGGACTTGTGCAAAAACACCAAAACGGGAAAGTAATGAATTTAGAGAGGATAAAAGATAAAAGACCTGCCTTGTGAGGCAGTGACCCATGCATATATGAAATGTAGTTGTTTACCTAATATTTTTGCAATGGTTGTGTCGATGTGTGGTCTGATACTGACCCCAAACAAGTTTACTTTGTCATCAAAATCAATTATTATGTCTCCAAAAAGAAAAATGTTAATTAATAATACAAAGTTCATTTTTCATGTTTATAATGCACCATTCCATATTACCCCGGTCAGTGGATCAGCTTGTACAGTAGAATACTTTTATAACGAACATGGATATAACGAACTGATGGTTATAGCGAACTTAAGTCCGAATAAACCTTATATTATCATTTAAAAGTGAATAGCGAACTACGGATATAACGAACTAATTTCAGTGGTCCCTTAGAGTTCGTTATAAAGGTATTTTACTGTACTTGAATTTCATCCTCAGGGTACAATGTGTGAAGCCCATATTTGGTGTCCCCTACTGTGATATTGCTGGAATATTGCTAAAAGCGAAAAAAACTAAACTCACTAACTTACTTTAAGCTCGTAACACTTAAGTTTTGCTGGTAACAATTCTTGAGGAAGACAATCAAAAGATTTTGATAGGTGCCTTAATACAATAATGTAATACCCAGCATTGTAAAATTTTCTTCTGGTCCTGTTATCAATGAAATACAAATGAGGTTGCAAAGCAATTGCGTTAGTTATAACCTAATTCATGGGAACAGTTTTAATCTTATCTTCGGACCCAGCAGAGACAAGTCTCTTTATGCTCCAGCGAGAGAAAAATGTTTGTCTATTATCTACAAGGACAGCACTATCTGAATGTACATAGGAATGTTTACTCTCAGATAGCCTCTAGCAGGGTCTTACATCTTCAATCAGGTGGTCACAATATGTATAGTGACACGAAGTGTAGGTGACACAACTGGTGAACTGATATCTGAGCAGATTGTTTTTTTCTTGTGTTTGAAACATTCTTGTATTTTTTAATGATTGAATTGTGATCAAATTCTAAAAGAATTCATTGTTTCATCCTCCTGTTAATGCCTCAAACAAAACTAACATTAACACAGTTACTTCTCCCAGAAAGGAGTTAACTCATTAACTGTATTACTAGGAAATGGATGTTTAGCATGTCTGTGCAGAGGCCCAGATAAGCTGTGTATCTGGGTAAAATATGCATAGAAAATTTCCAATTACGCATTGAAAAATATTTGTTGCGTACCAATTAGGCATTTAAAATGTTAGATACGCAAAAGTTTATAACAAATGCGTACGGAATATATTTATAAAAATCGCTTTGGTAATGAAAAAGACATCGATTGCTATCAAGTTGTACTGTTAGTATAGGACAAGTGTTGTACTGTCAGTACAGGATGAGTGATTTTTTATGAAAACATTTCCATTCTATTTAAGTTGGTTTTGATTAGGTATGACATAAGGCAGAACATACCTGCTTAGTAAACCTGCTCAATGACATAATACTTAGGTGAGTAAAATGACTGAAATACCCACATATTTGAAAGCAGTGGGTAACGGAAAATGAATACCCACTCAACATTCATAATACCCACTCCAAAAAAATACAATGGGTACAATACCCACATGAGCTAAATCTTATCTGGATCTCTGTCTGTGGTTTACTTATTAGGGTGATGGTGTGTCCAAATGGATAAGTGAGTGAGTGAATAAGGTTTTATGCTGCTTTTATCAATATTCCAGCAATATCATGTCGATGGACAAAGAAATGGGCTTCACACTTTGTACCCATTTAAAAATCAAACCTGTAACTTGTAAAGCTGTTTCCATTCTATAACAAACATTGGCTTGCATACCTAAACAGAGTTGTGTTTTGTGAACAAGAGCCATCCCTGTTAAATTTTCAGAATGATGAGTGGACGCTTTAACCTCTCGGCAACCCCCTGCCCCCAAATGGTTCAAGTTGTATACCAAAGTGGGCGGTGGGTATCCTAGTGGTTAAAGCGCTAATTCAAATCACACCAAAGACCTGGTTCGATTCCCCACATGGGCACAATGTGTGAAGCCCATTTCTGGTGTCCCCGCCGCGATATTGCTGGAATATTGCTAAAAGCAGCGTAAAACTAAACTCAGTCAGTATACCAAAGTTTGAGTGAAACCCATTCTTGTCCATTTGGTTGATATATCTGGAATAATACTTATAAACATGTGATTATTCACTGTTAGGTCTAGATCATAATTGGGGCGGTGGGGTAGCCTAGTGGGTAAAGCGTTCGCTCGTCTCACCGAAGGCCCGGGTTCGATTCTCCACATGGGTAAAATGTGTGAAGCCCATTTCTGGTGTCCCCCGCCGTGATATTGCTGGAATATTGCTAAAAGCGGCGTAAAATCAAACTCACTCTCTCACTCTAGGTCATAATTCATCTCCAGCACCATGAATGTCATAAGACACAGTTCAATGGATATGGTGGTCAGGCCCCAATGACTTTGTTTGTTGTGTGTCGACATGCCCCTCATTATATCAATCACTAGATTTTCTGCTCAAAACACATGTTATTTACATTTGTGATGTAATGTTTCAGCAAGCGTCCTGCCACATTTGTACCCGGCTTCCATGATGAAGAGCTTTGTTCCAAAATGCGCTACAATACCTTTGGAGATACAGGACTTGAAGTATCAGTATTAAGCCTTGGTGAGTATTGGTTGTGTTTGGTTACTGTATTACTTAGTATAGCTGAGGAGTCGTTGTCAGGAGGACGTTTCTGTATACAGAAATGTACCCAAGCCAAAATCAGAGAAACGTACCCCAGGACGATTACATACTGTATTGTGAACGGAACTGTCATACTGTTGTATTAGACGCTTTTGATTGTGTTATGTAAGAAACAAGCATACACAATAACAGCGTTCGAAATACCTGCCTGCCCGACCACCTGGGACGGGTTATTTTCAACACGGACTGCCAGATTCTCAAATTCACCTGCCCAACGGTCGGGTTAAAATTTAGACACGTATGTGAAGATATTCATCATATTTCAGGATAATAGATTATTATTAAATTACTTGTAAAAATAAATGATGAATTCCGATTGGATGAACTACATCGCTTGTCACACCTAAATTATTTGCGGACAGGTAAGTTTTGGTCAGGGCTGGCAAGTTTTACATCTTACCAGCCCTGTGGTCTGGCTGACATTTTTGGGAGTTTCATACCCTGACAATATGCACAATACCACTTGGAACCAGTTGAACGGGAACGACTATAAACGATTTCACTTTTGGGGTGTGGAATATGGACTCATCCGTCATTTAGGGTACAGAAAATGTTTCTGTACTATAACTTTGTTTATATCTGTACATTTGTATCTGTGCCGACGACCTTTTCAGCCTTAGTAAAATTTGACAGTTGTCAAACTATGGTCACTCAATAATGAAATATATACAGAAAGTCATTGCAAAAGAATACCCAGCCTTCAGTATCCTCAGAAGTAAATTCCTTTTGGCATAAAGAGAAAAAAGCTGTGAAAATTCTATGAATGGATGAATAAAGTATTTTTTGTGAGAAGCGGACACCACAAAGCAGTATTTCTGCCAGGCAATGGCGTTCTGTAAACAAAGCAGGCACTCAAATACAGTTTTAGAAAAGAATTGTTAACATTTGATGTGTTAAGGTGGCAATGGCTACCAAACAGTAAACGCTTACGGAGAACAACAAAAACAAAAGAGAGGATCTGCTCCTGGCCAAAATAGCAGCTGGGATTGCAAAATGTAAGAGGCAAGAACTGCTACTTGGCCACAAAATGTTTGGTTTCCAAACTTAACCTTTTCTCCTGATAGTTTATTGCCCTGTGTTGTTGCAACGCTGGTTGGATCATGTTCTTAACACTGCAAGACTGACCATGGCAAATTTATTTATTTATTTATTATAATCTATTTATATAGCGCTGAGTTCCAGCTAGGCTGCTCACAGGTGCTTTGTTTTTCCCTGGATCATAGGATGTCAGTCTCAATGGCTCCTCGTATTATCAATCTCAACTCCCTGGGTGAGAATACAACACTTGCCGCCACTAGGCGCATCGAGTTAATGTGGCTTTCCCATCCCTACGAGGTACCCATTCACATAGTCACAGTACTTTGTCCAAGTTTACTGCACGTTGCTGTACCCGTAACTAGGTGTTTGTACGTATTCATGTGGCCACCATCTGGTAATGTTAGTGTAATGGCTGCACACTGACTACATCGACTACATCGACTGTTTGTGTATCAGGTGCGTCGTCCCTGGGCAGCGTGTTCCGTTCCACCAAAGAGGAGGAATCTATTGAGGTGGTTCGCAAGGCTCTGAGGAGTGGCATCAATGTTGTAGACGTGGCACCCTGGTATGGCCATGGCAAGGCGGAAACTGTCTTGGGGAAGGTATGATATAGATTAAGTAAAACAATTTTATAATTTAGACATCCGGTGTTGCTTGGTTCATGTTATTTGTGTCGCACCACACCCACTTTCTCTCACCCACCACACACACTTTCTCTCACACACCACACCCACTTTCTCTCACCCACCACACCCACTTTCTCTCACCCACCACACTTTCCACTCACTCTCACACCACACACACACTTTCTCTCACACACCACACACACTTTCTCTCACACACCACACACACACTTTCACCCATCACACTTCTACACACACTTTCTCAAACACAACACACACTCATACCATACACACTTGCACACACACAAACAAACACACTCATACCATACACACCTGCACACACACACACACACAAACCCATAACACTCCACACACATACATGTTGCTGTATAAATGAATTAATATTGACTGCGACATTACACCCAATTTCACCCCACCACATGTCTTGTCATGATAACACCAGGATACACAGGAATGCCAAGCTCAGTACATAGTGTGGAGTCATCCCATAGATGCCATCTTTACCTTGTCAGCTTGCTGATGTGGTTAACCTCTTTGCTCATGTGGACAAGGCGTCCGACTTTGGATCAGATAGTCTGGTTCAAATACCCAGCACGGGACTCACAAATTTTATGAACTGAAGTTTTCAACTTCAACATATGTTGGGATAACAGGGCAGGACCAGGCCCCGATTTCTCGAAACAAACTTAAGTCTGAGTTTTGACTTAAGTTAGAGTTTTACTCAAATTTGAGCAAATGCATTTCCCAGAATGAACTAAAATCGATATTAAACTCAAACATAGTAGACAATTTGAGTTTGGTGGATAGATTACTTAAGTTGTTTGGGCTTTTTTATTTAAAAATGCAGTTGAGTTAAAAATTCATCTGCTTCAAATTGTCCAACTCAGGTTGAAATTTGAGTAAAAACTTAAGTTGGTTTCGAGAAATCGGGGCCTGATTTTATAAGTGTTTTACTTGTCTAGGCCCTGAAGGGCATCCCCAGGAAAGCTTACTACAAGTGTTTTACTTGTCTAGGCCCCCAGAAGGTGTTTTAGTCCCCTGAGGGAAAGCTTACTACAAGTGTTTTACTTGTCTAGGGCCCCTGAAGGAGCCCCCAGGGAAGCTACCTCACCACCAAAGCTTACTACCTCACCACCAAGTTTGTCGGTACCTGCCTGAGCCGGACCAGATGTTTGACTTCAGTGCTGAGAGAACCATACGGAGTGTGGATGAGAGTCTCATCGATATTATACAGGTGTATGGGAGGCTGGGTGTGGACTACATCGATATTATACAGGTGAGTGTCTACAAGGCTTTTTTATACTTCTTTTTTACATGATGTTAAGTTATCAGAGTGTAATGCGAGCCTCCAGGTCTAGCAAATATCCCAACAAAAATATAACTTTTACTTGCAGTAAATCAAGGAAATGAAAAAGGCAAAAAAAGGCAAAAATCATAATGGCCAAACAAACTTGAGAACTGCTCATGCTACAGATCCATGATATGGAGTTTGCTGACAACCTTGACATTGTGATCAACGAAACCCTGCCAGCATTACAGAAGGTCAAGGAAGCTGGGAAGGCCAGAATGATTGGCATCACTGGATATCCTCTAGAAAACTTCAGGTTAGTACAGGGTTGATCATCATTGTGCTGTAAATTTAGCATAGAAAATGTCCGGTTCAATTATATTCATGAGTCAAAATAGTTGTGAAAAGTTTTTGCATAGATTGCTCAAAATCATGAAATTCAATAATTTCAACATGCATTCTGGTCTGGAGACAAAACAGTTGGAACAGATCGCGTAAATGCACCATGCTTCGCGGCAAACCGAGGAGCATGACTTTTCACGTGCGGTCAAACCACGTGTTCTTGACCACGTGGGAAACGGTCGAATCGGTCAGTTGTGTTGAGGTTATGCTTAGGTTAAGGTCTGACTTGAGTTTAGATGTCAGTTGAGTTCAGATTTTACTTGAGTTCGGGTGTTTCTCGAGGTGGGTGACGGCTCGTCAAAATAGGATAAGATAGACTGATATAAAGAATGTATTAGTGCATCGAAATAGAAGTTCCATATAGCTAGCTGCTATAGAGCTAGATACTGTAGATAGTAGACTTACACTGCAATAGAGCTAGATAGTGTAGATCATAGAATTTAAGGTATCACATTAAGTTTCTTGCCTCATTAGCATTTGTTAAAAGAGATTCACGTTTAGTTCCCAACATTTATTGCTTGAATTATTTCATCAGTTTAATCAAGAGAGTCACATTTATTTCCCCAAATAGGACATTTCGATACTTCAATTTCAGTTAGTTTAATTTTCAATTCCACTGCGCAACACATTCATTAAGTGACATTTGGTCTTGTCTTGACTTCTCTGCATAATCGCATGATAAAACAAACTTGTGGCGATTCTTGGTAAGAATTTAGTTCCCCAGAAACCTATGCCTGTTGAAAGTCGTAGCTAAATATGTTGGACTGGCAAGCTTGATGACTTGGTTGATCAATGGATGCATGGATCAATGGTCATGAAATCTGGTCCAGGCCGGACTATTTACAGAGCGCCCGCATGTAGCTGGAATATTGATTAGAGTGTCGTTAAGTTCCAGTAACAAAAGACAACAACATGATGAAGCACCTTAGCATACATCAAACATAAATCTGACTGTTGGAACAAAATATTAAGGTTGTCCCGAGATTCAAAGTGTAAAAAAACTTCATGGCCCTCAGGACCAATTGATTTGGAAAGCTGTTGAAAATACCCCTTGACTTGGTGTTTCTCATTGGTGCTGTGGCCATCGATGTACAGCATCTCTATGATCTTGGTCATTCCTAACTACTCGCCTCTTTCCGTGACCTACAAGAAGACTCGTACCCCTATCGAACGCCATTATTGTCAAGAATCATGGCAAACCAATCAAGCATGAAAATGGCGGCACCGTTGAACTTTTAAACTTCGCTAAACTATGCAAAGCACAATTTAAACATAAACTTTGAGCTAAAGGATCAGCAACTTTATACACTGAAACATATTTACAAAGGGAATGACTGACATGATATAGTTGTTTTGCCCATGGGATATTAGGATATTCTAGGAGTAGCCATGTTTGGAAATTCAGAGTTATCTTTCCTTGGTAATAGTACTAGACTATTTTCATCTCCGTCACCGTGCCCGTTTGCACTTGTACAGAGCCCAGTCGTAAACATGGCCACGAGAGGGTTATGAGACGCCATCCAGCTTGCCGGAATGACACGAGTAGTTCTACGAATGTGATCCTGGTATCCTTGTGAGATATAAATACAACTTGAATCAGAACCCTATTCTGTAGTTTCCAAATCCTCTGTTCAGTTCTTATCAAGTCTATACTCAGTTCAAACTCAATTCAGCTTCAAAATCAAAGTCACAGGTCATGCACTTCTTCTATTAAACATGCCAATACCTTCAATACAGTTGACTTGACCTTTATAATTCATCATTGCTTGAATGATTGATGTTAATATATGTTGCAGGTCCTCAAATCTTCAAACATGTCAAGCTAACATTTCATTCCACATCTTCATACCTAACACCATGCAGCCCTAGCTGATCATGTGCTCACAGGGGTGGTGGGGTAGTCTAGTGGTTAAAGCGTTGGCTCGTCACGCCGAAGATCCGGGTTCGAATCCCCACATGGGTACAATGAGTGAAGCCCATTTCTGGTGTTCCTCGCCGTGATATTGCTGGAATATTGCTAAAAGCAGCGTAAAAACAAACTCAGTCAGTCAGTCATGTGCTCACATCTCTCAAGTCTGCCAAAATACATTAGAGTTACTTCCCTTTGCCCTGGCTGGGGCTAAGTGTCAAAAATCTAGGCCAATTTAGTTTTGTACATAAATTAAAGTTTTGACATTAATGTCATTAAACATATTACATGATGTATTGACACTTGCCTTTGCAATTCATTTTGATTGTTATAGTTATCCATGGTTAGACAGTGCTTCAATTGGAAATGTGGACTGTATTGTTACCATAGACACAGAAAGATATTGAATCTTGTGGCACATGTCTGGTTAGCATGGTCAGTGTCCAGTAAATAGATGAGAGGAGATGTGATGTAAAGACAATGTGAAATGTTGATTTGTTTATTTAGGACAGTGCTGGAGAAGAGTACGGTGAAGATAGACAGTATACTGACCTACTGCCGAGGATCTATGAATGATAACTCCCTTGCAGAATATATTCCATACTTTGAGGTAGGATATATCCCTGGCAGAATATATACCATACTTTGAGGTAGGATATCTTACTAGCAGATTATATACCATACTTTGAGGTAGGATATCTCCTGGCAGATTATATTCCATACTTTGAGGTAGGATATCTCTCCGGCAGAATATATTATATACTTTGAGGTAGGATATCTCCCTAGTAGATTATATCCCATACTTTGAGGTAGGATATCTCACTGGCAGAATATATTCCATACTTCGAGATATGATATCTCCCTGGCAGAATATATACCCTTCTTAGATATAGAATGACCGGTGTCAGAATATATATCATTCTTAGATATAGAATAACAGCTGTTAAAATATAAACTGTGTTTTTGAAGATATTATGTTGACACTTTAGCCTTCATATACAAGTTTTCAAGGACACAGTTTGTAATCAGTGCAGTATAGTGAATCACATTTTTAGTTGCATTGCAAGGTAGAAACTTGGGTCTATGAGTTCAAGGTAGGAATGATATGGGAATCACTGATAGTAATTTATATATCATGTGTTTGGTTGTCAGGCATGTTTTGAAGAGATAGTGAAACTTTATGACATCATGAAGGAAAGGTGATTCTGAAGAATATTATTGGATGTTGTATAAACGTTTCTGTTGCAGTCTAAAGGTATTGGGATTCTGAATGCCTCACCAATCAGTATGGGTCTGTTGTCGGACCGCGGCGCCCCATCTTGGCACCCGGCATCCCAGGATCTCAAGGATACCTGTGCTGCAGCAGCAGCCTACTGCAAGGTAAACAAAATAACATGCACAATAAGACATACAGTAAACACAGCACAGATACAGTCAACACAGCACAGATACAGTCAACACAGCACTGATACAGTCAACACAGCACAGATACAGTCAACACAGCACTGATACAGTCAACACAGCACTGATACAGTCAACACAGCACAGATACAGTCAACACAACACTGATACAGTCAACACAACACTGATACAGTCAACACAACACTGATACAGTCAACACAACACTGATACAGTCAACACAGCACTGATACAGTCAACACAGCACTGATACAGTCAACACAGCACTGATACAGTCAACACAACACTGATACAGTCAACACAACACTGATACAGTCAACACAACACTGATACAGTCAACACAACACTGATACAGTCAACACAACACTGATACAGTCAACACAGCACTGATACAGTCAACACAACACTGATACAGTCAACACAGCACTGATACAGTCAACACAGCACTGATACAGTCAACACAACACTGATACAGTCAACACAACACTGATACAGTCAACACAACACTGATACAGTCAACACAACACTGATACAGTCAACACAACACTGATACAGTCAACACAGCACTGATACAGTCAACACAGCACTGATACAGTCAACACAACACTGATACAGTCAACACAACACTGATACAGTCAACACAGTCAACACAACACTGATACAGTCAACACAACACTGATACAGTCAACACAGCACTGATACAGTCAACACAACACTGATACAGTCAACACAACACTGATACAGTCAACACAACACTGATACAGTCAACACAACACTGATACAGTCAACACAACACTGATACAGTCAACACAACACTGATACAGTCAACACAGCACTGATACAGTCAACACAACACTGATACAGTCAACACAACACTGATACAGTCAACACAACACTGATACAGTCAACACATACAGTCACTGTCATACAGTCAACACAGCACTGATACAGTCAACACAGCACTGATACAGTCAACACAGCACTGATACAGTCAACACAGCACTGATACAGTCACACAACAGATACAACACAACACTGATACAGTCAACACAACACTGATACAGTCAACACAACACTGATACAGTCAACACAACACTGATACAGTCAACACAACACTGATACAGTCAACACAACACTGATACAGTCAACACAACACTGATACAGTCAACACAGCACTGATACAGTCAACACAACACTGATACAGTCAACACAACACTGATACAGTCAACACAACACTGATACAGTCAACACAACACTGATACAGTCAACACAGCACTGATACAGTCAACACAGCACTGATACAGTCAACACAGCACTGATACAGTCAACACAACACTGATACAGTCAACAACACTGATACATACAGCCAACACAACACTGATACAGTCAACACAACACTGATACAGTCAACACAACACTGATACAGTCAACACAGCACTAATACAGTCCACACTCAACACAGCACTGATACAGTCAACACAACACTGATACAGTCAACACAACACTGATACAGTCAACACAACACTGATACAGTCAACACAACACTGATACAGTCAACACAGCACTGATACAGTCAACACAGCACTGATACAGTCAACACATGCATAGAGTCAACAACACAACACACATGCAGTCAACACAGCACTGATACAGTCAACACAACACTGATACAGTCAACACAACACTGATACAGTCAACACAACACTGATACAGTCAACACAACACTGACATACAGTCAGGCAACACAACACTGATACAGTCAACACAGCACTGATACAGTCAACACAACACTGATACAGTCAACACAACACTGATACAGTCAACACAACACTGATACAGTCAACACAACACTGATACAGTCAACACAACACTGATACAGTCAACACAACACTGATACAGTCAACACATGGACATACAGTCAACACAACACTGATACAGTCAACACAGCACTGATACAGTCAACACAACACTGATACAGTCAACACAGCACTGATACAGTCAACACAGCACTGATACAGTCAACACAGCACTGATACAGTCAACACAGCACTGATACAGTCAACACAACACTGATACAGTCAACACAACACTCGATACAGTCAACACAGCACTGATACAGTCAACACAGCACTGATACAGTCAACACAACACTGATACAGTCAACACAACACCGATACAGTCAACACAGCACAGATACATCAACACAGCACTGATACAGTCAACACAACACTGATACAGTCAACACAGCACTGATACAGTCAACAACACTGACATAGACTCAACACAACACTGATACAGTCAACACAGCACTGATACAGTCAACACAACACTGATACAGTCAACACATGGACATACAGGCAACACAACACTGATACAGTCAACACAGCACTGATACAGTCAACACAACACTGATACAGTCAACACAACACTGATACAGTCAACACATGGACAAAGAGGCAACACAACACTGATACAGTCAACACAGCACTGATACAGTCAACACAACACTGATACAGTCAACACAACACTGATACAGTCAACACAACACTGATACAGTCAACACAGCATGATACAACAGTACACACAACACTGATACAGTCAACACAGCACCGATACAGTCAACACAGCACTGATACAGTCAACACAACACTGATACAGTCAACACAACACTGATACAGTCAACACATACACTGATACAGTCAACACAACACTGATACAGTCAACACAACACCGATACAGTCAACACAGCACTGATACAGTCAACACAACACTGATACAGTCAGCACAACACTGATACAGTCAACACAACACTGATACAGTCAACACAATACTGATACAGTCAACACAACACCGATACAGTCAACACAGCACTGATACAGCCAACACAACCTGAACATACAGAAAGCCAACACAACCTGAACATACAGACAGCCAACACAACAATGAAGTCAGTGTACCCTGATGGAGTGGATTGCTACTCACCCTGTTGATCACCAGATTGTCTGATCTCAGTATTAAACAAACAAACTTTCACTACGTACATTATCACAAGTTACTGTGCAGAGTTGTGTCCCTTTTGCAATATTTAAACATAAACTTTGTCTCGACTTTCCTCTTAAATTTTCAAAAAAGCACATCTAGACTTTTATCCATGAAATTATGGCTTGTATGTCTTTTATTATGATATCATTGTGTGTTGATGAAATAATTAGGTTTAGTGTCAGTTTCAGGACCATCAGGGTAAAACCAACTATTTCTGAGTCTGTCAAGTGTGAAGTTCCTAAATTGAGCCTAGCATGTCACACTCTGAAAAGAGGGAGATGAAACCAAAGTGATAAATGATTTCTTAATTGATCAAATATTAAGCCACTGGCTGACATAGGCATGTCTACTTTGTTGGTTCCAGGAGAGGGGAGTGGATATATCTCGTCTTGCCATGGACTTCACCTTGTCTCAGCCACAATACCACTCCACTCTGGTCAGCACTGCCAGGTATGGAGCATTATGTTACCTTCATGTAAAATTCTTTAATTATAATTGGTCAGTGATGCTTTAACAAGTTTCCTAGGAGGGTGACAACTGGAAAAAAATATTACCCACTGCCACGGTAACCGCCAAACACTCCACGACAAGCTGTATGGCTAACAATCATATGACGTCATATTACCCTCGAGAGAAGCATACAACTTATATTGACACGCACACACTGTTAATCCAGAATCCTGTTAATTCAGGAATACAACTGGTCAACATAATAGAGAGGACAATCAGAAAGTATGTGCTGGTCATTTTCTATAACTTTACAATGTTTACACACAGATAATTGATCTTTTCCACCAAAAGTACAGTCTCCAATTCACTGTGTCCTCTTCGAAACTGAGTGAATATACGTCGATGTTCATGTGATTTAAAACTAATCAAATATCTTTCACTGCACAATGAGGATTTATGGTATTGATGAAATGACAAAGAATCACATCCAGTTTTTCATGTTGGAGAAGTAGAAAATGTAATTACATTTTCCGGGGGATCTTTATGGCAGCAAGACACATGATGTGGTGTAGAATTTATAATACTTTTTCTTTGTTTTTGTGTGGATTGTTTATTTATTATATGAAGGCGTTTTTGTTTTGTGTGTTTCTTTCTGTTTGTTGTTTAATGCCGTTCTCAACAATATTCCTGCTTTATGAGGATGGCTTGTTTGTAGCCAATCCTGGACCAGACGATCCAGTGATTGATATTTTCAACACTGACCCACACTGTAGTTTTACGCCACACTCAGCACTATTCCAGCTATATGGCGCCAGTCTGCAAATAATCAAGTCTAGACCATAGAATCCAGTGATCAACAGCATGAGTATCGATGTACGCAATTGGGATTCGATGACATGTGTCAACCAAGTCAGCGAGCCTGACCATTTGATTCTGTTAGTCGCCCCTTACGACAAGCGTGGGTTGATGAAGACCAAATCTAACCCGATCTTCACAGGTTGGTGGGGTTATGAGGAGATGCTATCAACCAAGTCAGAAAAGCTGACACGGGTTCCATTTCTCACCAGTCAGGTTGCTGGGGATCTATTCTGGTCTGTAACCCTCATTGTGTAGCAGTTGCATGGGGAGTGTATTTTATGTGTGTTTGTTGTTTGTTTCAGTTTGCAAAACCTACAGAAGAACATTGACTCCGTGTACACTCCGCTCAGTGACCTGGAGAAGAAGACACAGCAAGAAGTAATGGAGAAGTAAGTCAGCAAGCAGGGGTGTGTCTGGCAATGATTGGTTGGCTGGTTGGTTGGTTTAATGCCTCACTCACAGCAATATTCCAGCTATATGGCAGCGGTTTATAAATAATCGACTCTGGACCAGGTAATCCAGTGATCAACATCATGAGCATCGATCTCAAAATTCTCAGCGCAATTGGAAACCGATGACATGTGTCAACCAAGTCAGCGAGCCTGACCACCCGATCCCGTAAGTTGCCTCTTACAACAAGCATTGGTTACTGAAAACCAATTCTAACTCGGATCTTCATGGGTATCTGGTAATGACTACAGGCGAATATGATATGTATCACAGAGAGGGCTGGTTATTGATATAGATCCTAGAGATCTATCATCGTTAAATGTGTAAAGATATGAGTAACTATCTTTGGTAACACCAGTTACGGACCTGATTACATGGGAACATATTTTAAGGAGCACCACTGTCGGGTATACAAGATGGCTACCGGAATAAATGGCTGTTGAACGGAGCATCCTCTTCTTATTATTTCACATGGTGTCAGAAGAACCCTGAACGCGGAGAAGGGGGAGAAATGACAGATTAGCATCACTGGTGTAAGTGAAGTGACAGTTCTACTGATGTAAGTGGAAGTTCTGTGTAATTTCTGGACTCCAAATCCCGATATCGGCATGAGTGAAAAGAGAGGTACTGGTAAACATGTGTCTTCGTCGTGGTACGACAAGGGTCCGACGATGGATTGGACTGATGATGGGGGTCTGTACAGAAGATTCAAAGTTTGGAAACAATGTGCGAATTTTATATTCACGGGACCTCTCGTCAAAGTTGAAGAGCAGACGAAATGCAAGTATTTACTGTTATGGGCTGGCGAACGTGGGCTAGACATATACAACAGTTGGGCATTTTCTGATGAACAGTCTAAAAAACTGAATAACTACTTTGACAAGTATGAAGATTATGTACGACCTCAGTCGAATGAATTAATTGCAACTGCATTGTCTCAAACAGGGAACGCTTTCACTTGAAGAATTTGTTACCACACTTGTGAATGAGGCAGGATATCCATCGAAGGAGAGGTTTGTCAGAGATCACCTTGTGTTTGGCATGAATTCAGACAGGGTCAGGAAGGAATGTCTGAAGAAGGGCAATGATTTAGATCTTGATGAAGTGATTAGATTAGCCAAAACAGAAGAATCTGCCACTAGACAAATGAAAAGAATGACATTATCATCAGAAGCTGAAGTCAATCCTGTGATAAGAAAATCTCATGGTACTGGAAAAAAGTCTTTTGCAAACAAAGATAGAGCACAGACAAGGAAATGTCAGAGCTGTCTGTTAGAACATTTTCAAGGTGCAGGATGTCCGGCAAAGAAATCAAAGTGTTATTTGTGCAAACAAGTTGGACATTACTCTAGAGCTTGTACGAAGAAAATAAAGAAGAAAGTCCATGAAGTTCAGGTTGACAACGGACGGTCTGATGATGAAGATTCTTGTCTGTATCTGGGACAGATATCAGTTGACAGTATTGATACTGTCAGTGATATTGATACTGTGTGCGATGTGGATACTGTGCACAAGTCTGACAAGGACAAAGCTATTCTCACAGTGGTAATTTCTCAAGGAAAGGGAACAACAGTTACGTATTGCGACTGTAAGATAGATTCTGGAGCAGAAACCAACATTATTCCTGTGTCAGTCTTCAGGAAAATATTGCCAAAGGACTTTGAGCTTGATGAACCTATCAGTGAGAATGAAAGCTTGCCAAAGTCACAAACCTTAGATCGTGTGTGGTGTATTTCCATATCCCTGGTACCGAGAAACCAGAAGCAGTGACAGTTCAGGTTGCAGATGTGGAGTATTGTGTAATCAAGGGAAGTATTACAGCACAAAAGATAGGATTGCTTGAACTTCATTTCCCAACAGTCAATTTGGTGAATAGTGAAGAGTCACGAGAAGTGAAGAACTTCAAGAAGATGAAGAATCATGTGACCAGAACACTAAATCAGAGACTGTGAAACTGTTTGATGTGAATGGTAGGAAGCACCCATTTCCCTGCATCGATGCATCAATACTTTTTCGAAGACGATACAGTTATTGATACATTCAAAACTGTATCGATATTTAGTTATGAAAGTATCGGTTTAAATATGTTTATGTATCGTTTACAGTTCGCAATTGTATCAGTTTACAGTTTGCGGTTTTTTGAAGTTATGAGAGTTATAAATGATTATTTTTCATGCACAAAGATGGGGAATTAGAACTTTATAATCTCTGAGAATAAGAAATGTTGATCTTTTCATGGACAGTTATAAAGTATGAAATATTAATGTTCAAAATGTAACTAAATTTACGCAATAATGCTGTGAAAATAGGTATCGTGAAACGTATGGAATCGTGACATGGGTATCGTGATATGTATCGATTCATGAAACTTGTGTATCATGACATCCCTACATATTTCACATCAGTGGTGGGAAGTGACATATTTATGTGTGGATTACCAACAAAACGTCGACCTGAACATACGTTAGGAAAAGCCCATGAACACAGACCTAACTCTGTGTATTTTGAGGTTAAATTCTAAAATTATTTCATCACAATATTTCATTGATGATTTTCATATCGATAATCATTAAAAATGATTCCCATTGACAATATTTCTGATTATCAATCTTTTACCCAGCCCTAATCACAAATATAGGTAACGAATACGTATGTATATTGATAAATACAGCTAGTCTGTTGTTGATTATATTTTATATTATGTTTAGAGAAACAGAAACAAAAAAGATTATTTGACTTGGTTTGACCAATTTATTTGATTTATAAGAACAATGACCAGTGACTTACAAAACTGGCAAAATAAGACATAAGTGTTTCTACTAACATCCTTCATCATTCCAGCAGTTTGACTTGTTGATCACGTAAAATGTTTAATTCTGTATTTGAATAACTGTACAAGGTCCAATATGCTTGTATAGGTTTTGTTAGGTCTTAGGGTAGTCTTTTGGATATGGTATTTGCTCATCAGCCCTTAGAGCTGGTTTTATTCTGTACATGGATGAAATGATTGGCGCCAATTTCTGGGGTGCGTGTAAGGAAATAGCTGGAATATTGCAAGAGTCCTGAAAACCTACTTGCTTAGTCAATAGTGTTATCTTAATGCCATTATTTCATGGTGCGTAAATGGGGTTTTCCCTGCTTTCTGTAGTATTCCAGATATCCTTTGGATGGGGATGCTAGGAATGGGAATCAGTTCGAGCATCAATAGTTTAGCCATATCCCAACACCCTCAAGAGGAGCTGTCTCCTTCATGTTGTAATAACATGTAAACGAGACAACCTTAAATAATTGAACAAACAAGTTAGAAAAAATCAATAAAATTAAATGTTTTGCCAAAGTTTCTTGAGGTTCTATATTTTTGAACACATCAGGGAGGAAAAAATATGCGGCATGATGTTTTTCTAATTAGACAAATATCTTTTGAAATAGGGACTGTTTCAGCCAAGCCATGTTATAACTGGAATACTAAAAAAATATGTATTAAATCTAACTCTGAAGTCTGATTATTCATCACATTTACCTCCCTTTCCTAGGTTCATGAAGCCGCTGAACAACAAGAACTGGGAGGGCGTGGAGGTCGCAGAATACCGGGCATCTTTGAAAAGCCAGTCTGGTTGAAGCTTGAGGTGCTCAGCTCAGAAGATGCATCACAACATGTAGGGAGATGTTGGGATTGTTATACACAATGCAATATTTGAGTGACATCATACACATTTTGATACTGTACTAACAACGAGTATTGAATCAATAGGGTAATAATATGGTTACATATTGTGGTGCTTTTTGTACTGTTTTTGTGTCGAATTCTAGTTTTTCAGTCAACCTGAATGACAGGAGAGAAGCTAGTTATAATTTTGTCTGGTCAAGGCAGCTGTTGACAAACTGTTTTCTCCACTGCTTATCTAGTCTTCTAAAAGTTCTCTGCAATAAGAGTAAGCATTTTCGCTTATGATGGGCATGAAGGTAACTCCAGCTTAGGCTGTTATTAAGACTGAAGGGGTCGTTATCGGCACGGGTATTACTAGTGTTGGGAATCGGAAACCAAATCCACTATCAATTATCGACTATAATCGAAATATATACATTTTTAATGTAATCCCCAATTTTAAGGGTTTTCCCCAATTTTTTGTGTAATTAATGTTTTATATAACTAATACTGTCATGAAAAGAAATGCACGCATGCAAGAAAGACGCTGAATTGTAATTAAACAATGAAAATAGTTAACATTTTATAATGAGTATAGCTTTATGCTTTTGAGTGCATGTTTGCTTGTGAATATTTGTCAAATTCAATGCAGAGCTCCAGATAGGATTTAGCTCATGTGGGTACTGTACCCATTGTATTTTTTTGGAGTGGGTATTATGTATGTTGAGTGGGTATTTCATTTTCCGTTACCCACTACTTTCAAATATGTGCGTATTTAAGTCATTTTGCTCACCCTAGTATTACGTCATTGAGTAAGTTTACTAAGCAGGTATGTTCTGCCTTATGTAATACCTAATCAAAACCAACTTAAATATAATGAAAATGATTTTATAAAAATAGCTCATCCTATACTTACAGTACAAATAGCAATCGATGTCTTTTTCATTACGCAAGCGATTTTTATAAATATATTCTGTACGCATTTGTTTTAAACATTTTGCGTATCTAACATTTTAAATGCATAATTGGTACGCAACAATTATTTTTTCAATGCGTAATTGGAAATTTTCTATGCGTATTTTACCCGGATACGCAGCTTATCTGGGCCTCTGTCAATGGTTAGTTTACTTCATTTAAGCGTGTTTTTACTAAAACAACAAAATTCTGAGTAATCGGAAATATGTTTTTTACAATTGATAATCCTTTTCAATCCTTCCTTAGATCGATTTTCGATTATTTTTGATCATCAGAACACCACTAGGTACTAGAGATGTGTACCCCAGGTACATTTCTGTATACAGTAACGTACCCTAACCAAAATCAGAATGCTGAAACATACCCTAGGACATGTCCATTTCATGCCCTTTTCTTGATCGGAACTGTCATACTGTTTTATTGGATGCATTTGATTGTGTTATGTAAGAAAAGTGCATACACAATAATGAATATTTTGCGATGCTCAATGCCACTGACAATCAGTTGAACAGGAGCAAATACAAACGGTTTTGGGTTTGGGTTTGCAGAAGATGGTCCCAGTTTAGTGCACCAGGCTTGTTTCTGTAGATTAGGGTACATGTCTGCATACAGAAACGTACCTGGGGTACATATCTGTAGTACCTGTGTTTAGGGGTGGGTATTGCAGAGAATTTTCATATTGCGATATATTGCGATGCAAAAGCATGTATTGCGATATGTATTGCAATATATTGCGTGAAGTAAAAACTACTTATAATCGAGGCAATGCTTGATTTATAGAGCAAATACACAGCAATATCACTATGTTTGATTAAGCTTTAATAACAACTTTTATTCATGATTAAAAATAAAAATGTGAATAATATAAATATCCGAAGATTTCCGAGTGTTACGAAGTTTTCCGAATGCAAGTCAAAATACCATTTTTCCATCAATGTATCGCAATACGTATCGTTTTCATGTCTGAACCGGTAAATACCGGTAAACTGGTTATATTGTGCAGCCCAACCTGTGTTGACAACAACCCCTTCAGCATTATAAACATGTTGACTTCCACCACGAGTATACCTGTATTATCAATTCTGACAGAATTTGCCACTACGAGTTATCTTGTAGATATATGAGTGGTATTTTAAAACAAATTTCATATGTTGGCAAATAGGCACAAGAAGCAATCATGTTGATTGTGTAATGTGTTTGGGGAAAGTATTCTTTTTCATATTTTATTATTATTATGTGATATTTGTATAGCACCAGTATCCAGCGCAGCTGATCATGGACAAGTTATTGATCGCTTGATTTCTTTACACAATGGTACTTACAGACACAACCAGAATGTTCAGTAAGAAGCAGTATTCTTATTAATTTATTCTGCTAATTAATATATAATGGATTTCTATTGCACCTGGTATCCAACTTGAAGCTCTTCAACGGCGCATCACAAAGTCTAGTCAAAGTCACAAACCCTGGATAACCCAAGCTGCCTGTGCTAGATGGTTATATGACTTATCCCACCAGGTACCCATTTTCTGCTGGCTTCCATCAGAAGCAATATGGCATCTGACTATACAGATACAGAACTTGAAAATATTATCAAATAAAAGCTCACTTTATTTATTGATAAATATTGCTACAGCAACTAGTAATATGTATCACTGAAGGATTGTTTTGTGTGGGAGAACTCCTTTGTTTTTATTTATTCTGATCACTGATGTGGTTATGTGTGGTGGCATGGTGATAAAGCGCAGTCATCTGTATTGGTCAGTAGCAATCCATCTATACATTGTTACAGAAACAGGGAGCCAGTGTGTCTATTGTTCTATTTTCAGATTTCGTCACATTCATGCTAACTGGTTGTTAGAAAGGGGAGTTTCATTGTGATATGTGATATTTCAGTCATGCTTTACTGTATGTCTTCCAGCCTTTGGGTATTGCTCAGATGAGCTTCTGTAACATTTTTGATTGTTTGGGGTAATGTATTTGTAATGGACATTCAATACTATTAAATGGCTAGAGCAGGTCTTCTAGCGGTCAGCTCTCTGTAACTGCCCTGAGTTGCCTTTTTTCATTTTTCCTTACTGTATAGGTTGGAATGGTCAGGCAATTAGGAATCAAACTTGTAACAGTGTAAATGATTCTGGCTTCTGGCTTCAGTTACTCAAACAGGAGACAGGAAAATAAAAAGAGTTTAACATATTTTATGAATTTGAAATCCTAAGATGGAGATCAGACAAACATCAGGTGATACGAAAGGTCATTTGTTCATAAAAGATGACAAATTTTCAGTGATCCGTTGGTGAAGTTTTCACTGCAATTTCGCTTTTTCACCACCATTTCACCATGCATTATTGAGTCAGGCTCTTCTCTGCCATTGACATTTGTATTTAAATTTTCAGTAAAATATTTAACTGCACAAAAAAGAGCAAAGCAATTTCCCAGTGTTTATTTTCAGTGCCTCAATTTTGCCAGTTTCTATTGATTAATATGAAGCAGACAGCAGAAAGGCATGTTTTCGTCTCATACAGGGTATATTGGTGATGCACTTCCTTATACAAATGTACTAGTGTGAATATTTATATAACCTACCAGAAGGTATTGTTTCATGTGATACTAAAATTTATATTTATCTGTCTTCCATGACAAGGATGTCAACTAAATCCTTCCATCTATACACATGGACTAAGTTAAACACCACCCCTTCACTATACTACATCTTGAACTTCCATGATTCTTTAAATAATGTGCATACAACATATTCACGAAAATCTTGGTGACTTGGTGTCATCACTGAATTTCTGAGATTTGTTCATATAAATTTCATTGCTGTTTTGCCCTTTATGCAAAGTAAAATGTGTTTTGTGCATCTTTGTGCACTTTGTATAAGAGGCGGTGGGGTGGCCTAGTGGTTAAAGTGTTCACTCGTCAGGCTGAAGACCTGTGTTCGATTCCCCACATGCGTACATTTTGTGAAGTCCATTTCTGGTGTCCCCTGCTGCGATATTGCTGGAATATTGGTAAGAGTGGTGTAGAACCATACTCACTCACTCTTTATATAGGATACTTGCTGAGAGTGACTGCTGATGCAGAAACCGAAAGTGCAGCCAAATAAAACTACCGCCATGGAACAGTCATGAACATCAAATGCCAGTGCAAAAGAATACCCAGCCTTGACTTTCCTCAGAAAACTTTCTGTTGGGTATAAAGGGAAAAATAGCAGTTATTATCATATGAATGGGTTGCTAATAATCAGTGATGACACCAGGTGTTTGGAACACCTGGGCCTCCTTTCACAAAGCACTGAGGTGATCGTAAGTCATTAAGGTAACCTTAGTGCAATGTTAAAGAATGGGAGTTAAGGTTAACCTTAGTAAAGGTTGCTTCCTGTAAGGAGCCCCCAGGTTAACACACCATACCACTGCACCCACCTCATGAAAGACCTGGTTCTATTCGTACCATTGATCATAATGAAATTGTTTTGCAGTGTTTCCATGGTTGTGGCTGGACAGTTGTAGGTATGAAGTGTTCTTCTACACATCTATTTGCTCAGTACAGTGTGTATTTGTAACACATTGTTATGACCCTGAGAAGTTTACTGGCATTCTTAACATAAGACATACATCAACAGAAATGTTTATGTATACGCACTGTACTTACATGTGTATTACCTTATTGGGATTGTTTTTGGTATTGTGGGGAGTATTGTTTTAAGTATGGTTTGTTTGGAAATAAATGTGGGGATCCTCCGTTTTATTATTTTTGACTGAATGCGTCTGTCTAGGATGGATACATTTATCACACTCAAATGCTTGTCTACCTGTGGAGAGTCAGGCAGATAAGTTCATCTGACTCCCAGTGGAATTTCAAGGGCAGACAGATTAACCAGACGCACACATGGCTCCTTGTGGAGAGTCTGGGACAGACGTGATCATCAGATTCCCACACTTGTCTCTGCCTGGAAATTTATGGGGCGGATAAGGTCATCAGATTCCTGTGCTGCCATCCAGTGACAGCATAAATATGGTGCTAACTTGGGCTTATTCTAGTTTAAGGACAGGGTGACTTACTTACCTAAGGTGCCGTGACAGTTTGATACATGAACCTGCATCCTTTAGGCACCCCAAAACCTAGATCCCGGGTTCGAATCCGAGGTTTGCCCTGAATTGAATTTTAAGTTTATAAGCACCATACCCGTTCTTTGGGCTTCTCCAAGGATATCAGTTAAGGCATCCGAATGTTTTAACTCTACTCTTTTGAATTTGAGTCAGTCTCAACGTTTAGACCTTCTTGTCAACAGTACCCGTGGAGGTCCGGGTTAGAATACTGATCAGTGTTGGTGATGGAATTGGGTTTTACGTCATGCTTGAGAATATTTCGCTCATATGACGACGTGCATGCGTGTGTATGTGTATGTGCGGCTGCTTGTACTAGCCCAGACTGAAGCTGGTTTTATAGTGCTAGCCCACTGAGATACCATGCCGCAGTGAAGCATGAATACCCCACTCAGACACATCATACTGACTCCGAACCGACCAGTACTTGTTGTACCCATTAATGCCGAGCGCCAGGCAGGGACCAACAAGTACCATATTTTAACGTCTTTTGGTATGACGCGGTTGGGGTTCAGTCCCGCGACCTTCTGCACTCCGGGCGGACGCTCTAACCACTACACCACGGAGGCGGTCGAATATTGATCAGCAACCCATGCTTGTGGTAAGAGGCGACTAACGGGATCGGGGTGGTCAGGCTCACTGGCTTGATTGACACATGTCATCGGTTCCCAATTGCGCAGATCGATGCTCGTGCTGTTGATCCCTGGATTGTCTGGTCCAGGCTCGATTATTTACAGACCGCCGCCATATAGCTGGAATATTGCTGAGTGCGGCGTAAAACTAAACTCACTCACTCACACACTCTTGTCAACAGCCGTGCGTTATTTTGTGTTGGGTGTGATTGCGTGCTTTCTTTGAAAGGTTAAAAAATATAAGACGAAGCAATAATGATTTCACCTATTTAATAGCAAACCCATCTTCAAGATATATGATATATACAATCTACAGGTTTAGGTAATATGGTTAGCAAGTGCGTTTGAGCAGATAATACTGTTTGGTTTTGTGAGCATATGTGACCATTAATGCATATTTATGTAAAAATAGATATAATCTTTATTGCTTATTGTGAGACATGACTCCATAAATAATAGAATTTGTAACATAAAACAAGAGGATTGTGTGCATAAAAACATAATTACCAGCAATTAGGTTATTTGAGACGCAAGGACTTGTATCCAGTGAGAAAGACGACTAGGAACTGACGTAGATAATGCAAATAATTATATTATTAATAAAACCATGAAATGCAGAATCAAGGAATTCCTTATCTATGACTTTAACATAAAGATCAAGCTTCCGGTCATGCGCAATGCTACGAAACGATTACGCTTACTACTGGCACAAAAGGATAAGTTCAGCAGCGACCTGACAATTGACCCGTATTAGCATGTATGAGTGTCGCCAACTGGCGCTTGCCATTGTTAGCAAAAGGGGCCCCAGGTTGTCCGCGATCAAGTCTAGTGCTACTTGCTACACCGACGTCAGTCTTATGAGCAAGGCATGTGCAGCTACGCGCGGATTCAATTTTATCGTCATGTAATGCACGTGCACTAGCCTACACCTGCTCTACCTTTCACAAACCAAATGGGTTTGCTCAATGCCGTGCACCGCCTACTTCTGGTAAGCGCGTTCTCTGCGCCGGTCCAACTTATCCTTGTTTGCCACTAGAGAGTCGAGGAAAGTATAGTCTTGGACCATCGGGGGCGGTGGGGTCGCCCAGTGGTTAAAGTGTTCGCTCGTCACCCCGAAAACCCGGGTTCGATTCCCCACTTGAGTACAATGTGTGAAGCCCATTTCTGGTGTCTCTCGCCGTGATATTGCTGGATTTTTGCTAAAAAGCGGCGTAAAACTAAACTCGCTCACTCACCATGGGCCATCGAATATGTATTCTAAAGTTCCCAGACAAGCAATGAGTGGGGCTTGTTTTCACCGTTTAAGCAATATTCCAGCAACGTCTCCTTGTCAGATACCAGACACATATTTGGCATGATATGAGCCAGAACCAGTTTTCAGCATCACAGCGCCTCGTCACCAATGGGATTTTATTATTTTTTTAAAAAAATAATAGATAAAAACGAAACTAAATGTCTCTGTGGACCGACCCGAAGAATGTGTTGTGACAAACATTGTGTTCTGTCGCTCCGTCTTAGCGGAGAAAAAAACACAACTTTTTGAAGCAGTGAACGACATATCCAAGCTCCTCTCTGAATATTACATGGTCACACCATGGCAATTGTTAACTGATTAACAAGTTCTGATATCTAGACATTTGCACGCATTAAAATTAATCATTAATGCCCCGTCGGCATTCCCGACAGAAGATGCATTTAGCACTCTTTGGTGTATCAATTATTCACTGAAATGCTTAGTAGATCAAACATTCATGCTGTTGTCTCTTAATGGCTGGTAAGTGTGAGGTTGAACTGATGACATAGTGGAAATAAACCGCTTAAGCGGGAGTCCTTATTCTGGTCAGGTGATAATATTGAGTCAAGTTTCATACGTCCATATCAATGATAACAAGCTTTACCAGATACACTCCAACACAACCGTTTGAATCTACACCTGTTTAAAGTTTCACGACTTTCAAACTCAAACTGCAAACATATTCACGAAGAATGGCATTCATCTTGCTCGTTAAATTTTAAGTGGAATCCTATTTTGGTCAGGTTTTAAAATATTAAAAACTGTAAATTGTGATACATCCATATTAATTATAACAAGCTTTGTCAGAAACACTCCCTCTTAACCGTTCGAAACTACACTTGTTTGGTGATATGTTTTAAACACACGACTTTCAAACTCAAATTGCAAATATATTCACGAAAAAATTGCATTCATCCTGCTCGTTATATGCCCAGGGGATCCATCTTTCGGTGTACTGGTTCAGACTAGCTGTTTGTTAGAGACTGGAGCAATTTGTTGCCTGTGTAAATCCATTGAATACAGGAACACAACAATTAACGTTCGCTTCGTTAGGACACTTTAACGGCCTGCTTTCTCTCCTCGTATTCCCGCAAAACCTTCTCCAGTTTCTCACGTGCCCACTGCGTGACCAATTCCGTCTCCACACGTTCCATGAACGCGCTGTATGGCTGGCGGTTACGTCGACGGTGACGCTGAAAACAAAAAGGAGCATCGAAAAAAACTGAGGGGATGCGATACGAAGTTTTAGGCATGCCAGAATGATAGGATCAAAGTTATGTTGTCAGATTCGAGTGAATGACTGAGTGAACATGATTTGACGCCGATTATTCCAGCTGTATCACGGCAGGAGACATCAGAAATGGGCTTTTGTCTATATTAGCCGTGTGACGAGTCCACGGCGTGAAGAACGAACGCTTTAACCACTGGGCTACCCCACCGCCCCTGTCAGAATCGCTCTGTTTATGATTCTTGAATTGTCAGCACCATACCCTGTTGGGTTCCACTAAAGGCATTGATGTCTATGATCTGCATTAACTTCTACCTTCCTCCCACACGAAGCTGACAGACCTTGACTGTACTTTCATTTCAAATTGCATCAAACCTAACTCACTCACTCTTCTGGCAGTATACTTACTGTGTAAGCTCCGCTCTTGGTTGGCCAAGGATCTCTGGAGAGGATGAGCTCAGACTCGTATTTTGGCTTTGAGGGCATCGCCGGCGCCATCTGACGTTCGTTCACGAGGTCGCGTTCTGTGCAGCCCAGCGTCAAGCCGTGTACTGTAACGAAGGTGTGTAGAGCTAAACAACAGCTGGATTGAAATTTAATTTTGAAACACGCGGAGGAGAAGGCTTTGATAAACAAGGGACATTGGAGTTAGGAAGTGGACGCTACTCCCTAATGAATACTCTTCATCTAGTTTCTAGTCACCTGCGGGAATTCGAAACATGGAGCTGATGACACCGTGAGTATACTTCCACATAAACACATGTTCGGGAGAAACGTTTTTTTCGCTTTGTGCAACACTGCTGGGTACTCTACTCTATGAGATAACCAATAATGAAAGCTTATGGTACCTCGAGAAATATGATATTTCGAGATAAAACATAAACACAATTTCGTGAAAAATATGTTTTCGCTTTTTGCAATACCGCAGTATGCGCTACTCGTGCTGGGATAACCAACAATGAAAGCTCAGAGTACTTCGAGAAACATGATATTTCGAGATAAACAAGTTAAACCCTTTAAAGTACTCAACATTTTGAAATTACCCTTCATTGAGATAAACAATACTTCGAGAGGGACATTGCCATTTTAGAATAAAGGTCTGAACAATGATTGACTTGACGCCAAGATAAGCCATGCTTCGAGATGAACGACACATCGAGATAACCAATAGTTCAGTATGGATGTATAGCGTTTTTTTCGCATCATGGCAGAAAAGGTTCCAGAATGCACTAGAGACGTTTGCTGATTTGACGCATTGTTGATAAAATGAATAAGTCATTGTACATTGAGGAACATATCATTGAAATTAGGAAGATGTACATACTTGTATTGCGGTGTTCTGTGTTGAACAGGATGTTGTATGGGTCCTTCTCATAGTTTGTCAAGAACTCTGGCAATCCGAGGCTTTTGATTGGCGGATGCTGTGGAAGACATGTATATGTACGAGAACCATCCAAGACAAGATGCGACAAGATACGGATGGAACCAGCTGAGTAATCAAGTAATCAGTTTGGCTTAATTGGGCTATACATTAGTTGCTTCTAATCCACAGACTGTCATCAGATCAAGTAGGATATGTCGAATCCCTTATAAGTCAAACTATTGCTGTGGGGTTCAACGCACGATGTGATCGTGAAAACATAAAAGGATAATGACATTTTTCTTTATAGTTATGATCGTTTATAACTGATGTATGACAATTTGGAAGCAATTCTGAGCAATTGGATATTGTAACTTTGATCAAACGGCTTCTGAACAAAACTCCTTGAAACCATTGCAGAAAGAGCACGCTCGAATTCGCCTAGAAATGTCAACACCAAATGCTGCATTTGCTGGAATATTGCCAAATAAATGCTGACTTTTGGAAGCTGGATTTATACCTCTCGTCATACAGTCGTACGTTATTGTGGAGAGATTTTTGTCACTCTCAATCTTTAAAGATTGTCGGTCAAGATGTCGGTATGACGTAAATATGACCATGTCATATTATGACGAAAGGTGAAACATGCAGTGAAAACCTGGCATAGTATGACAGCTGGAGTCATTTTAAAGATAATGAATGACAACGGTATTGCCTTACAACAGGAGGCGAGGTGAATGGAAGACCATGACAAAAGGTAACAAATTTATGACCTTGACATATTATCATAGCAGGGGGTCTAAGAAAATAAAAGACGATTTAGTAAATTTAATAAAATGCCATGACGAAAATTGTCAAAGTTCACGAGTGACAATTGCATATGATTAGGTGAGGTGAGGTGAAACGGGTTAACGTCGTGCTTGAGCCTATTTCGCTCATATGACGACGTGCATGCGTGTGTATGTGTATGTGCGGCTGCTTGTACTAGCTCAGACTGAAGCAGGTTTTATAGTGCTAGCCCAGTGAGATACCATGCCGCAGTGAAGCATGAATACCCCTCTCAGACTCATTATACTGACTCCGAGCCGACCAGTCCTTAATTTATGCCGAGCGCCAGGCAGGGATAAACAAGTACCATATTTTAACGTGTTTTCGTATGACGCGGCCGGGGATCGAACCCGCGACCTTCCGCTCTCTAGGTGGACGCTCTAACCACTACACCACGGAGGCGGTCTGCATATTATTATGACTTGGAACAAAGTTCATCAAAGACAATAACAGGCCCCTCACTCACCCGTCTGAAGTCGTGTTTCTGGGGCGTCTCATACTCCTCCGCTGGGTGCATCCCATCTCTCACGAACTGTTTCTTAGCCGTAAAAGGCCGGGGTATATGGAATCTCGTCACAAAGTTTTCTACCTTTGGGCCTCTGTCACGGAATATGACTGGCAGTAACGACGCTCTCTCCCTCTTGACCCTGGTTCGCTCCCCAGGGATGGTACCGTACCTCCAGGGCTGCATGGAATCAACTGTGTTACGTTTAGGTGGTTGGGGGTCATATACAGCTACCCGGAAGTCAGGGGGTGGCTTTCGCCATATGTCATCGTCTTTGGTGTTCTTTTTGACTTGTAACTTTTCGCTTCTAGTCTGGAGCAATGCATCATCGGCGTCAAAACTTGTTTTGGCATGGAAGCCGAACTGGACTATCCCTAGTGAGCTCTTTCCGCTAGGTGGGCGTGACGTTTCAGCCTTCACATCCGACTGGCTGAGCGTGGTCGTCATGGTCGGACCTGTTTGCAAAAAATGCATATTGATTGTTATTTAATTATTTTTTATATGTGATTAAACGATCGCTGAAAAAATGTGAGGAACAAAAGGATACAACAGCTCCACAGGTGACACGGTAGATACGGCTTAAATAGCTCCATCACGGGCAACCATCAGCACCATCGTGTCCCAATCTACGCAATTGGGACACCATGACGTGTCAATCAAGTCAGCGAACCCGACCACCTGATCCCGTAAGTTGCCTCTTACTACAAGCATGGATTGCTGAAGACCAATTCCCACCCGTATCTTGACGGGTCTAGCAAGCAAGATGGACATTGTGCGTTAGACATGTTTCTTTATTGTAACAGGGTGATGGGCATGAATAAAAAGATAACATGTGAGAAATACATATATTTACTTCAAAACGAGTCTCTCTACCCTGCCGCTTCTGATTGATTCAAGTTAATGACGTATTTTTAAACATAGACACTCAATTGGATAATGTAATGAAAATTGGACAAATTTTAACCCGGATCACTCAAGGGTCAGTTGAGTCACTAATTTGGGCATACTTCTTAGCATTATTCTCAAAGATATATGTCAAGTTCACACTACAAAGGTGGAACGTTGATCACAGACCAAAACCTATTTTCCAGATCACGCCCTCGTGTCACAATTGTGAGGTGAGGTGAGGTGAGGTGAGGTGAGGTGAAATTGGGTTTAACGTCGTGCTTGAGAATATTTCGCTTATATGACGACGTGCATGCGTGTGTATGTGTATGTGCGGCTGCTTGTACTAGCCAAGACTGAAGCTGTTTTTTCATGGTGCTAGCCCACTGAGATACCATGCCGCAGTTAGGCATGAATACCCCACTCAGACTCATTATACTGACTCCGAGCCGACCAGTCCTTGTTGTACCCATTAATGCCGAGCGCCAGGCAGGGACCAACAAGTACCATCTTTTAACGTCTTTTGGTATGACGCGGTCAGGGATCGAACCCGCGACCTTCCGCTCTCCGGGCGGACGTTCTAACCACTACACCACAAATGTGAGATTTAAAGGGAAATATCGAGAACATAAAATATACAGTTTATTATGTCCATTCTACGTGCCAAAATGCGACATTATTTACCTCCCTCATACCACGCTGATGAGTCTCGATTACCTATTTCATAGACTTATTTTGTGAACCTTCTTCTATTGAAGCAGTAAACCTGGAAGATCTATTTACCCTCCTAATAAATTACTTGAATGAATTTGGTCAATATATATGTATGTGTATAATAATATCTTAATTTGGGCTTATATTCTGTGGTTTTGAATTGTAAATAATATTGAAATGTTAAATTGTATGCATAACAAATTGCTTTCTAGTGTGACTTCGTGTTTATAATAAACTTGTGTATGTGTGTGAATTTAGTATCTTCGCTATATGGATGAAATACAGCTGACGTTTTACAACTAAGTCACTTAGCATTTCTCCGAAACCGGCGTACCAAAAGGACTTTGCAACCTCAGATACTCGTATCGTCACGATACGTGCACCAGGACAGGGATTAGACGTTAAAAATTAAAGCATACATCCACAAATGTACTTTTGTGATGATTTCAACAAAGATAATGTTATAGAAATATCTATGATTTATAGCGTATCCATGGCGACATATACTCAAGGAAATTAAAAAACTTGACACTTAGATTGAATCCAGCAATGGGGTGATTGATTGAATATGGTTTTACGATGCCTTTGGCAGATATCAAGTAAAAAGTGAAGGAAGTATTTGTGGTTTTCTACACCGTTCAGGAGAGCCGTAAAACTAGAAGACAAATAAGATATGGCCGTGCTGGTATGGTCGACCCGTCGGGCCTGTGTTGACCCAAACACAGCGTTAGGGTGTATGTATGCCAAGTCAGGGAATCAGTGAACAGTACAAGTAGATCGCTGAGATTAAGCTCACCACTAGTATATCATATTACATTTCCTTAGGGGTTTGACATATATATTTACTTTATAATGAGGTAAAGATTTGCCTATTTACATGATTCCGGATAGATTTTATTCACGCAACAAGTATGAATTTATTATGAATGGAGAAATCTTATTCCAACACGTGATTGTCCTAATTTATCAGGGGATGTTTTACGATGGATCCCTGTAAATTCGTTATTAACAAAACCGAAACAGCCTCATGGGGGTCAGTTGTAACGTAACAAACCCCTTACTACACTTTTCCATGGTACAACCTCCCTTACATGATGTCAACCAACCTCCCTTACATGATGTCAACCAGTCTCCCTTACATGATGTAAACCATCCTCCCTTACATGATGTCAACCACCCTCCACATCATCATCTCCCCCCTTACATGATGTCAACCATCCTCCCTTACATGATGTCAACCAACCTCCCTTACATGATGTCAACCATCCTCCCTTACATGATGTCAACCAACCTTCCTTACATGATGTAAACCATCCTCCCTTACATGATGTCAACCAGTCTCCCTTACATGATGTTAATCATCCTCCCTTACATGATATTAACATTCCTCCCTTACATGATGTCAACCTTCCTACCATGCATGATGTTAACCAACCTCCCTTACATGATGTCAACCAGCCTCCCTTACATGATGTAAACCATCCTCCATTACATGATGTCAACCATCCTCCATTACATGATGCCAACCAACCTCCCTTACATGATGTCAACCATCCTCCCTTACACGATGTTGACCATCCTCCATTACATGATGTCAACCACCCTCCCTTACATGATGCCAACCAACCTCCCTTACATGATGTCAACCATCCTCCCTTACATGATGTGAGCCATCCTCCCTTACATGATGTCAACCAACCTCCCTTACATCATGTCAACCAACCTCCCTTACATGATGTCAACCATCCTCCCTTACATGATGTCAACCAACCTCCCTTACATGATGTTAACCATCCTCCCTTACATGATGTCAACCAACCTCCCTTATATCATGTCAACCAACCTCCCTTACATCATGTTAACCATCCTCCCTTATATGATGTCAACCAACCAACCTTACATGATGTCAACCATTATCCCTTACATGATGTCAACCATTCTAACTTACATGATGTTAACCATACTCCCTTACATGATGTTAACCATCCTCCATTATATGATGCCAACCATCCTCCCTTACATGATGTTAACCATCCTCCCTTACATGATGTTAACCATCCTCCATTATATGATGTCAACCAACCTCCCTTACATGATGTTAACCATCCTCCCTTATATGATGTCAACCAACCAACCTTACATGATGTCAACCACTTTCCCTTACATGATGTCAACCATTCTAACTTACATGATGTTAACCATCCTCCCTAACATGATGTTAACCATCCTCCCTTACATGATGTCAACCAACCTCCCTTACATGATGTCAACCATCCTCCCTTACATGATGTCAAGCAACCTCCCTTACATGATGTCAACCATCCTCCCTTACATGATGTCAACCATCCTCCCTTACATGATGTCAACCACCTCCCTTTCATGATGTCAACCATCCTCCCTTACATGATGTTAACCATCCTCCCTAACATGATGTTAACCATCCTCCCTTACATGATGTCAACCAACCTCCCTTACATGATGTCAACCATCCTCCCTTACATGATGTCAACCAACCTCCCTTACATGATGTCAACCATCCTCCCTTACATGATGTCAACCATCCTCCCTTACATGATGTCAACCACCTCCCTTTCATGATGTCAACCATTCTCCCTTACACGATCTTAATCATCCTCCCTTACATGATGTGAACCATCCTCCCTTACATGATGTCAACCATCCTCCCTTACACGATCTTAATCATCCTCCCTTACATGATGTCAACCAACCTCCCTTACATGATGTTAACCAACCTCCCTTACATGATGTTTACCATCCTCCCTTACATGATGTTAAACATCCTCACTCATATGATGTCAACCATCCTCCCTTACATGATGTCAACCATCCTCCCTTACATGATGTCAACCATCCTCCCTTACATGATGTTAACCATCCTCCCATACATGATGTTAACCATCCTCCCTTACATGATGTCAACCATCCTCCCTTACATGATGTCAACCGTCCTCCCATACATGATGTTAACCATCCTCCCTTACATGATGTTAACCATCCTCCCTTACATGATGTTAACCATCCTCCCTTACATGATGTTAACCATCCTCCCTTACATGATGTTAACCATCCTCCCTTACATGATGTCAACCATCCTCCCTTACATGATGTCAACCATCCTCCCTTACATGATGTCAACCGTCCTCCCATACATGATGTCAACCATCCTCCCTTACATGATGACAACCATCCTCCCTTACACGATGTTAACCATCCTCCCTTACATGATGTTAACCAGCCTCCCTTACATGATGTCAACCTTCCTCACTTACATGATGTCAACCATCCTCCCTTACATGATGTTAACCATCCTCCCTTATATGATGTCAACCAACCTCCCTTACATGATGTTAACCATCCTCCCTTATATGATGTCAACCATCCTCCCTTACATGATGTCAACCATCCTCCCTTACATGATGTCAACCATTCTCCCTTACACGATCTTAATCATCCTCCCTTTCATGATGTCAACCATTCTCCCTTACACGATGTTAATCATCCTCCCTTACATGATGTTAACCATACTCACTTACATAATGTCAACCATCCTCCCTTACATGATGTCAACCAACCTCCCTTACATGATGTTAACCAACCTCCCTTACATGATGTTTACCATCCTCCCTTATATGATGTTAAACATCCTCACTCATATGATGTCAACCATCCTCCCTTACATGATGTCAACCATCCTCCCTTACATGATGTCAACCATCCTCCCTTACATGATGTTAACCATCCTCGATTACATGATGTTAACCATACTCACTTACATGATGTCAACCATCCTCCCTTACATGATGTCAACCGTCCTCCCATACATGATGTTAACCAT